CCTACCAGTAATGACGGAGTCAACTAATCACTTCCCAGATGTACAAAAATACAAAATGAGCAAAGAACTATTTAATTCCTATTCCCTTTTTTTCATTAGGTCCACAGCTATTTCACTTCTATGTAAATACGATTTGTTAGAAATGGCCCAGCGTATGAAATGCGATTGAGTCTGGACTTATCTGGAGTTTCCAGATAAATTTTCCAGCTTAAGTTTTTTGACTCTCCAGTATTTAGTCTTTGGTTTTTAATTACTTTATCTAACTTACAGAAATGAGAAAGTAATGCCTATATTGGACTAAACCTAATTTGACTTCAAGACTGACCTTTCTTATAGTTGGACCTTAGTCTTGTGAGGAATACAAAGATCAAGAACTTTGGAACATCTCAATTTTCCTTCTTTGAAAAGGTGTTCAAATTTTCAAACTGCAGCCCCATGGATTAGGTTGAACCCAATGAAATTCATCTCTTTATTGGTCAAAATGAGAATACTAGCATTTCAGGTGGTTCTACCTAATAGTTACCTCGTGTTTCCACCTGACAATTTGTAGAGCATGTGCTGGTGGGAATTTCTTGTAGAAGGTAGGATGTTGCCAACCTCTTAACATTAAGTGTTTAGGTGGGAAGTCCTGGGCGTTAGTTAGTTACTATAACCTCCACATTTGTAAATAGGAAACCTGAAGTAAAGAGGATGAATTAAACAGGGCTAAGTACCTGACACCATGCTAGTTGCCGAAGAGAGAAACATAGGACAATTTCCTGCGGTGGTTTTAAAATACATACTCAAGTCAGCATGGAGATTCCCTAAAAAACTAAAAATAGTGATCCAGCAATCCCACTCTTGAGCAAATAACCTGAGAAAACTGTAAGTCAAAAAACCTGCACTCCAATGTTCATAGCAGCACTATTTACAATAGCCAAGACATGGAAACAACCTAAATGTCCATCAACAGATGACTGGATAAAGAAGATGTGTGTGTATATATATACACACACATACATACACATATACACACACACACATA